CCATACTCTACAACATAGTGTTACATGCGTTTTTGATTTAACGATATTTTCAACTTATAGTGGGTTTATTGGGATGTAATTGCATTGTATGTCGAGGAGCATCTGCATATGAAACTGGTGATTTGGACACCTCTACCCCACAGGCACTTCAAACCTAACATGTTCAAAACAGAAATCATAACTTTCTCAGAAAATCTGCTCTTCTTCCTGTATTCATTTTCTTGGTTGGTGCTACCACCAGTGTCTCAAACAGATAAAAGGGACACAATTGATTCTCCTCTTCCCCCAGGTTCCCAGACCTAATCACTATCTACTAACTTGACTCTGCTTTCTAAAGTTTTCTATCTAAAGGTCTGCCTTTTAGAAGATATTGCAACAGTCTCTAAATGGTCAGACTGTACCTTCCGTGGCTTAAACCCCCGTGTCAGCCCTCTGGTGCTTACAGCATAAAGTCCAACTTTCTTAGCACTGAGACTTTCCTGAAATGACTTAACATTCTTCCTGGCCTCGTCTCCTGTCACCTTGCTCTTACACTTCACGCTCCAACACCAAACTGCTTAGGATTTCTGGACTCTTTCTTGCTTTATCTGCTACCTATTCTTTAAAAATCTCCTCAAATGCTATCTTTTTCCTGTGCCATCTCACAGACCCAGCATTCTCCCTCCTGAGCCACCTGTTTACTTAAGCAGTGGTTCTCAAATATTTTCATCTGAAGATTACTTTACATTTTTACAAAGTGTCAAGGATCCTCAAAAGTGTTTGCTTTTCATAGGTTGTATCTATTGACATTTACCAGATTAAAAATTAAAATTATGAATGTTTAATTACTTGTTAATTCATTTAAGATAAGCCTGAAAAATAACTTCTTTTTCCCAAACAAAAATAATTTAATGAAAAGAGTGGCTTTGCTTTACATGCTTTTGGAAAATTCTTTAATATCTGCGTAATAAATGACAGCTGGATTTTCACATTTCCACATTTAATTTGTTGTGATATATCACACATAATAATGTAGTATTATGAAAACAATTCTTTTTTTCTATCAGGAAGGGTCTCAGAGACATCCCAAGAACCCCACTTTGAGGTACTCTTCAGAGGCACAGCACTGACCTACAGAACATCTGGAATGTCACAGACTTTACTTTGTACAGTAACCCTTTTGTTTGCAAAACCTACCCCAGCAGTACTGGAATGTGATATCCGCGAAGCTATGTATCTCCAGAACCCATCGTAGATTGGACAAGATACTTTTTTGGTTAATGTTATCATTTTTCCCTACTACTTTGTTTTCCTATTCACTTGAAGTTGGTAAGGCTTAAAACAGAAACCGGTAGGGGGCACCCGGATTTGAACCGGGGACCTCTTGATCTGCAGTCAAATGCTCTACCCCTGAGCCATACCCCCTTTGCCCAGGTCAATGAGACTACAGCGTAATTGGAGTGTTTACTGACCAGATCTCTATGGTGATTAACAATAGTTTGGTGTTTATGATCAGCTGCTCCAGGTTTCCCACAATGATACTAAAGAACTAAGGGAAGATTGCACAGACAGTCCGGATCCAAATGGTGGAAGAAAAGAGCGAAATCCTCTTTGACCCAGGCTTGAAGGTCCTGTGGGTGTGTGCCATGGGATTTCTCTCCTACATTAACTACCACCTTTTCCATCTCTGGGGATTCTTTACGTCGAATTTCCATCCTGCCTGCTTGCAACCTGAGCTGCATTGAATCCCTAGCCCAGTGCTTTGTACAGGAAAGGAAGTGCTTCCCTTGTCTTTCCCAAGACCCTCTCTGCTCCTGCACCAGAGGTGCCCCATTGTCTACATTCTCTCCAGTGTCTTCGGTCACTTTCTCCTCTTCTTTGGCTCCTTCAAATATCAGTGGGCTTCCCCTGGATTAAAAAATCCTTCAAACAAACAAATAAACAAAGAAACCCTTCCTAAAGCTATGATTTCCTGTTTATTTCTTCTTTCTCACTACCAATTTTTAAGAAAGTCTATGCTTCATTTGTCTCTATCAGCTACCTGTCTCCACAGTTCTGTTACTCGGCATTTGCTTTCTCTACTGTCAGTTATTATTTCCCCTTTGTCTATATATCTTGTTTCTCCAACTAGACTGTAAGTTCCTTGAGGGGCAGGATTGTGTTGCATTCTTTTCTGTATTTCCCACGGTAGTTGGCACAGTGTTCACTATAAGCCCTAGGTTGTACTTGCTCACTAAACTACAGTCCCAAACTCAACTATTGTGTAAAATCAAGGCTGTACTCAAGGCAGCTTGATATTGTTGGAGGAAAGCTTACAAATCTGTGTCGTTCCAGCGATCTCAAGCAGACTATCTAGTACTCCTATACCACTGGCTGATTAGGTTCACTTTCTCACTCTTCGAAATGACTATTTCACACACTTTCTCCTGTCTCAAACCTTCATACATCTCCTCACTCTCTTAGCTGAAGAGCTCACCTCTTCCTTTTTGGGGAAGATCAGAATCAGTCAGAAGCAGCGATGTGCTGGTAAATAACTAACAACTGGCTCCTGAGTCCTGATTTCCCAAGGTGCAAATACTCCCACCCGCCTATTTTAAGCTACCAAAGAGAAGTCAACTGGCTTAAAAAATTCCTGAAAATGTAACCATCAGTTCTCATAAACCATCATGAGCCGAATCTAGCACACTTCCGGAATCAATGACCTCCTTCATCAACTACCAACTTTTCACTGACAACTCCAAAAATGTTATCTCCAACCTGGACCTCTCCTTGAATTCCAAAATTGACTGGATCTCCAACTGCATACTTAACATCTCTTCTTAAATGTCTATGGGGTACCTCAAATTTAACGTGTTGACCCCATACTAGAATGTGAAATCCATGAGGATAGGAGGCTGTACTCTATTATTTTCTGTGTAAGAGTTTAAAAAAGAAACTCTTGATACCCCGCATCCCACCCCACCCCACCCCGGCCTGGCACCCGCAAGTTTACTCCTTTCCTAGTGTTCTTTATCTCAGGAAACCACACCACTCATCCAGATAGTGAGGACAAAAAAAAAAAAAAAAAAAATCATTCTTGATTTTCTCTTTCCTTCATCTTCCCCAAGCCATCTAATGTTCAGGAAATGTGTAGCTCCCCTTCCATGGTCAACCTGGATATCGACACTCCTCTCCAGCTCTACTGTTCCACTGTGGTCTGCTAAATAAAGGGCCCCCAATCCCCTTGTGAATTTGCTACTTTACATGATAAAAGGGACTTTGCAGATGTGATTAAGTTAAGGATCTTGAGATGCGAACATTATCTTGGATTATCTGGGGAGCTCAATGTAATCACAAGGGTCCTAAGAAAAGGGAGGCAGGAGGATCAGAGTCAGAGACAGTGAGATGTAAGAGTGGAAGCAGAGACCAGAAGATGGGGAGATGCTACCTTGCTGGTTTTGAAGATAAAGGAAGGGACCATGAGTCAAAAAGGGCTGGCGGCCTCCAAAAGCTTAAAGTCAGGAAAACTGATTCTCCCCTAAAACCACCAGAAGGAATGCAGGCATGCCAAAACCTTGATTTTAGCCCAATGAAATTGATTTTGGAATTCTGACCTCCAGAACTGTAAGATAATATGTTTGTGTTGTCTTCAGCAAATAAGTTTGTGGTAATTTGTTGCAGCAGTGATGGGAATTCTAACCTGTCTCTGTGTCCACTCTTTTTCTTTTATTTTATTGTGCTCAGAACACTAAACATGAGATCTGCCCTCTTAACAGATTTTTAAATGTGCAATACAATATTGTTACTATAGGTACAGGGTTGTACAGCAAATCTCTAGAATTTATTCATTTTGCATAACTGTAAGTTTATACCCATTGATTAGCAATTCCCCATTTCTCTCTCTTCATCCCTGGCAACCACCATTCTACGCTCTAATTCTATGAGTTTGACTGTTTTATTTTTACTTTATTTTTTTAATGCCTGCAGCACCTGGTATTCCTAGGTGGAATCCCATCCAAGTACTAACCAGGCCCAACCCTGCTTAGCTTCTTCGATCAGACAAGATCAGACGAGATCGGGCATGTTCAGGGTGGCATGGCTGTAGACGAGTTTGACTGTTTTAGACACCTCATATAGGTAGAATAATGCAGTATTTGTCCTATGATTGGCTTATTTCACTTAGCCTAATGAGCCATGTTGTCACATATTGCAAGATTTCCTTCTTTTTAAGGCTGAATAATATTCTATTGTGGGCATTCTCTATGTTTATTCTTGACTTTCTATACATCTTTCCCACAGGAGATGATTTCAAATCCCTCTGCTCAAAACTGTCCAATGCTGGCTTTTCATCCATTTGGAGTAAAATTTAGACTCCGTACCTTGGCCTACAAAGCCCTCTACAGTGCTGGCTACTTCTGCAGCTCTCTTGAATGGCTCTTCCCTTGTTCACCTTCCTCCAGCCACTCTGGCCCTAGGACCTTTGCAATAGCCATTTCCTCTATATGGAATGGCCCCACCAAAGGGCTGTCTCTTTCATGCCATTCAGGTCTGAACTCCAGAATCATCTGCTCAGAAAGGTATGCTTCTCCAACCTGAAGTAGCCTCCCTTGTAACACAGCATCTTATTTTATTTTATTTTAGTATTTCTCATATGACTACTGGGCTATTTCCTTGCTTATTCATTTGTGTATTTGTTTCCAGTCTGTATCCAATACATTTTAAACTCAGTGAGAGTGAGAACCTTTGTGTCTTTCTATTAAAAGTATGTTCTGCACCTAGAGTGGGGCACGTAGTAGTTGCTCCATAAAAAGAGAGACTACAAGACAGTATAGCCAGAGAAAAATCTCTCAATGGAGATGTCTTTTTAGCTGGTGTTTGTATTATTTTGAGAGAGACCAGGGGACGGGATTCCCTATCCATTTAGCAAGAGGTTGCTCTCTGAGTTCTTAGGGTAAACCGATGAATAGGATTGTGGATATAGAATTGAGGCTAGAAAAGGCAGATTGGTACCTAAGTCCACATGTTTTCCAAAGGGCCATGTCTTCAGTTGGTCTTTCAATTTTGTTTCTCATCATTAGTAAATTTAATATTATCTAGGAAGAAGTAACTAATTTTGAACAAAATTTTCAGTACAAAAAAATGTAGAATTGGTGTAAAAATAGTTTACCCAACACGCACCAGCAGAGGGGTGTAGCTCAGTGGTAGAGCATTGACTGCAGACACCAGCCTGCCCCCTACTCAAATCCAAGTCCCCCCTCTCTAGCCTCACACCTCCTCAGTCACTCAGAATTCCACTGCCCCTCAATGCAAAACTCTTTGTAAGATCCCTTTGTCTATTCCTCCTGAAAAGTTTTCTCCTTCATATGTCCCCCGTAATTGCAAAGTAGAGACCACCCCAGTGGTTGCACAGGGTGTATTCCACACTCAGTGGCGAGGAGTCCACCTCTACACTCAAAAGGTAGGGAGAAGGCGATGAACCCTTCTTGTCTCTGAAACTGTTCAAAACCTATTGGTTTAATGTAAACTAACTATACTTTCTTTTGGGGTAAAAATGGAGTGTCAGGGTGGGGCAATATTACTTTGCCTAGTTCGTACTCTGATTGGGAAGACTAGGAGAATGAATCCAAGTTCAGAAAGTTTTTATGATCACAGAGTTTAACAAGACATACACAGATATAAAATAGGTGAAAAAGAGACAGCTTTCGCCTTCAGATTAGCTCAAAGGCAAGCCTTTGGCCTGCTAACCTCCAGGTGGTAAGTTTGAGGTGTCCAGGAAAGGGGTGAAAAGTTGGTTATGTCTCTGGTCTGGGCTTCACACTGGATAGCAGTGCTCTCTGCTCAGTCTCGATGTCCAGCCTCCAGACGCAACCCACAGCAATGGGAGCCGGCGGGGAAAAATGCGCTTGAGCATTCCCTTGGGCCCCTGAGGGATGACACAACCAGATTCCGGGTTTAAAATTTTGCAGCTGCCCCCTGACTCAGGCAGTCTGCCTCTCCTTATCTCCTTTATTTTTCCTTTTTTTGGGCAAAACCTAGTCATAGGAGATGCCTTACTTCCTTCATACTTAACTGTTTTCCTCTGGCCCAACAGTGATACTGTCGGTGACGCAGCCAATAGACATCTGTCCCCACCTTTAGGTTATGAAACTCAACAGCCTTGTATTACTAGTTTAGTGGTTTTTGAAGTGTGATCCCCTGGCTAGCAGCATCAGCATCACCTGGAAACTTGTTAAAAATGCAAATTCTCAGTCCCAATCCAGGCCTACAGAATCAGAAACTGGGGGTGTTCTAACGACCCTTCCAGGTAATTCTGATGCACACTCAAGTTGGAGAACCACTACATTAGTTTATGTCAGTTTGCATCAGGATGTAACTTTATTTTTGTAAATTAAAATGAATTTATGGGTGTACATTGGCCCTTTTAATATTCTCAGAGTGCTTTGACTCTACCCATGTCATAAGCAATAGGGAAGGAGTCCATGTCACCGGTAATAAAGTTGAAGTTGGAGAAAGCTTGTTTTCTGTAGGTTTCCCTCTCTTGACCCACCCCCATAGGAAACGGAACGCCAATTCAGGGGAGTCATTTCTGTCCCCAGAACCCGTGGCCACAGAAATCCAGACACCTCTGGCGCCAGTAATAGTGACGCACAGATTTGTACCTGATTTGTGTGCATATCCATTCTTCCTTCTTCTGCTGGGTACAAAACAAAACCGAAAGCTTTTCACTAAGATTGGAAAATGAGAAAGGAATTTTTGAAAATAGTTTTTTGTTTTCTTTTAATCTCAGACCCAATGTTAAAAGTAAGAGTCAAGAAAGAATTCTGCAGGATGAAGACAGAAAAAAACCACCAAGGGGGCACCCGGATTTGAACCAGGGACCTCTTGATCTGCAGTCAAATGCTCTACCACTGAGCTATACCCCCGCGCCGCAAGCGCGCTTCGAGACGGCTCCTTGAGTACTAAGATTCGGTTATGAGGAGGGTCGGAAAATGAGGTAAGGAGAAAGGAACGAAAGAGGAAAGAGGGCCAAGCAGAAAGCAGAAGGTGCTCGAATTCGGGGAACCACAGGAAAGCTGCTTGACAGAGGAGCAGAGGAAAAAAGAATTAGCCCAGGATGCAAGACGCTGAAAAGAGGCGCGAGGGATGAGTTCCGCCCTACAAAAGTGGGAAAGGATGTGGGGCGGGGGAAAAGGGAGGCTAACTGAGGTGGGTAGGGGAGTTCCCGTTCCGTCCGCAGGTTCTTGCTTGGTACCGACGGGTACAAAGGAAAGTCCCCGAATCTGGTGAATCCGATCGGGCGTTCAGGGAGCTTCCAACCCCACCCTCTACGGATGCGAGGGGTTTGCCCGCCTCCAGCAGCCCGGGCGCCCCAAATGTGCAGCCAGACCCGCTCTGCGCCGCCTCCAGCGCGGGAAGGGCTCTGGGCTCGCCTCTCCAGGGCGCCTCCTGCTTGGGAGTGCCGGGGCACTAGCGACCCTCGGGACTCACCTAAGCGCATACCCCCGGCCCCGCAGCCCTCCCAGGAATCCGCCCCCGCGCAGCCCCACGTCGCCTGGGGAGCGCGCCTGTTCGCGCGCGCCACTGCCGCCGCGTCCCCGCCCCGGTGCAGCCCCTCCTCCCCGCTGTGTTTATTAGGGGAAGGAGGGCGGAGGCGGAGGCCAGTTCCCTAGCTCCAGCCGCCGTCGCCAACGCCTGTGTAGTTGCAGCCGCGGCCGTCTCCCGCCAGCTCGCTCCGGGTTAAGAGAACGCGCGCAAGCTCGGGCGTCCCCGCCCCAGCCTTTCCCGGAGCCATGAATCCCAACTGCGCCCGGTGCGGCAAGATCGTGTACCCCACGGAGAAGGTGAACTGTCTGGACAAGGTAAGCCCCGGGACCAGGAGACGCGTCTTTGCCATCCCTGAGCAGTACTCCGGATTGGGGGAGGAGAGAGGGGCCGGGTCTATGCAGCCCCATCCTCGCGATCCTGGGAGAATGGAGGGAGGGCGGTGTCATGGGGTTCTGGGGACAGACCTCAGTTTGGAAACCAGGAGATCCGAGGCAAGGCAAGGAGTCCACGCGTGGCAGTTAGTCACTACTGGAGAAGAGTGGGCTCTGTGCCACGGGGTTGGGCGGACGGAAGAGGGGTAGGGAAGCCAGGCCCCAGGGTGGAGGCTGGGGGAAGGTTAGGGGTGCAGTCCCGCCCCCTAGGGCCGGGAGAGTGAGAGGAGACGGCCGCTCCCTCTCCCCGCCGCCCTGAGCGCCAAGT